AATGTCACGAGGCAGCATTTGAAACCCCCGCAGAGTTCTCCCTGCTGGGCTGTGACCCACCTGCCTGACACCCACCATTTCATTTGGAAAAATGCATTGATTTATCACTGTCTTTTATCCTATGACTATAAAAGTTCATCAGAAGTTCTTCAAGGGGGCTGAAGAGATGGCTCAATGGTTAAAAGCACTGACTGCTCTGTGGAAGACTTGGGTTTGGTTCCCAGCATCCACATAGCAGCTGACAATGGTCCGTAACTGCAGTTTCAGATGATTCAATGCCCTCTTCTGGCCTCCATGGGCCTTGCACAACATGAGTGTGGATGCTGAGAACCAAACCCAGGTCCTCTGTAAGAGCAAGAGCTCTTAACCACTGAGCCATCACTCTAGCCCCTGAAATTTTTTAAAAAGATATTAACCGTGAAAAGAAATGGGGTACGGATAGAACACTTGCCTGTCATATGCAAGGCCCTGGGTTTGATTTCTATCACTTCCTGGAAAAGTTATGTTACGTTCATCTCTGACTTCAAAGAAAGCGGATACTAAGAATATTTGAAAATTTAGGTATTTGAGAAGGTTTTCATTGTCCCTCAAATACATGCTGGAACTTAATCCCCAAACTCATGTACTGGTGGCACTTGGAGGAAATAAGATTATATGAGATCATCAGGGTGGCTTTATTGGAAAAGGGAGAAAGACCTGCGCTGACATACACTCTCTCCACCCACTGCAGCCCTCCACCGTGCTTTGATACGACAGGAAGGGGCTCCCTAGATGCCGGATGTAAGGTGACCGCCCATTATGAGTAGCTATGACTCCTGATGGGCAGTGTAGACATTAGTAGGTAACTGCTTGGTATAGAATCTAGCAGGAAATGCTAGCAAGGAACCCGATGGGATTTCCCACTCTTGTCTCGTAGACTCTGTTGAGAATGGGTGTGAGGGCTTACACAGCTACTGTGTACCGGGTACTACTTACACAGCTACTGTGTACTGGGTACTACTTACACAGCTACCATGTACTGGGTACTAATTACAAGGCACCGTGTTAAGCACCTTCTTCATTATCACATTAAAAAAATATTTTATAATTTTTTTTATGTGTATGAGTGTTTTGCTTGCATGCATGTTAAGGCACCCATGTTGTACAATGCCCTTGGAGGCCAGAAGACGGTGTTTGATTCCCTGGAACTGGAGTTAGTGGTGGTTCTTAGGCACCATGTTGGCACTGGGAACCGAACCTGGGTCCTCTGCAAGAATAGCCAGTAGTCCCACCCGCTGAGCCATCTCTCCAGTGACATTATCACTTATTCAGTCTTCACAGTAATGTATTGTTCTAGTTTGCTTTCTGTTGATGATGATAAACACTGTAACCGAAGGCAAGTTGAGGGAGAAAAGGGTTTATCTGACTTACACGTCCAAGTCAGTGCATCACTGAGGGAAGCCAGGGCAGGAGTTCAAACAGGAACCTGGAAACGAGCGAGGCAGAAACCACGGAGGAATACTGCTTACGGACTTGCTTCCCTGGCTTGCTCACCTGCCTTTCTTATACAGTCCAGGCCCTCCTGCTCATGAGTGGAATTGCGCCAAGTGGGTTCGGCCCTCCTACATCATCAATAACTAAGAGATGCCCCCCACATACATGCTCACAGGCCAGTATGATGGAGCAAATCCCTCATCTTCTCAGTTATGTCTAGGTTTGTGATAAGTTGACAAAGAGGAGGTGAGAGGGCTAGAGAGAGAGAGAGAGCTCAGCAGTTAAGAGCACTGGCTGCTCTTGCAGAGGACCCAGGTTCAGTTCCCAGCACCCACATGGAGGCTAACAACTGTTCATAGCTCCAGTTTCAGGGGATCTGATGCCCTCTTCTGACCTCCTCAGCCATTGCACAACACTCCCAGGGGACATCCTGGGAGGGACAGGCTGGAAGGTACCGGACAGTTCAGTAATCAGAGACAACCTGGAAGGCTGATCCACACAAGGGGGGTTGGGGGGATAGGAGAGGACACCAGGGGGTGGGGAACAGGAAGACTGTTTGCCAGTGCAGGCCAGAACACTAGCTAACAGGGTAGGGTTAGGGTGCAGTAGTTCCAACCTTAAACTCTGGGAGAAAGAGCCAGGGAACACTGTTGCTGGTGTGAACTTAAGAAAGACACTGACCCTGCCTTGACCTTGACCTCAACCTTTAGGGGAAATCACTTAAAAGAAAAACTGGAACATTGCCTTTGCTGGGATCTCCTTCATAGCTGAGAGTTAGTATCACCGTGAAAAAGATGAAGTAACTTCAAAGGTGACTCACAGTGAGGCGCTGCAAGTCCCTGGGCAAAAGATAGTGGAAAATGCACTTCCTGCTCTTCCCTTCAGAATCATTAAAGACACAAGGTTAGAGCTGGCCTGGGGGGCTCAGCCAGAATGAGCTCTCTTATGTAATAAACAATGTGTTGCAGGTACGGATTGCAGAGTTCTGAGTCTGGGCTCCCATGGCGTGCTACTCACCTACCAAGAACAAGATGAAGAGCTGGGGCAAGTGATTGCTTAGGAGAGGATATTACTTGACAGGAAGATAAATATTTGTCTGAAAATTAGGGTCTACAGATAGACATATATGCACAACGCATGTCTTTTCTTCTCAAAGCTATCACTGCAGCAGGAGGCTGAGGCAGGAGGACCACCACATGTTTGAGGGCCAGCCTTGGCTACAAAGTGAGACTGTCTCAGAAGAAATTGTTACAGAAAACCAACTACAATTATTTGCTGTGCTCTTTTTCACGGAGAAAGCAACTCTGCGACATTCCTACTCACTCCACTGGCTGGGTTGACATCCTCCTCTTCTCTTGACTTTTTCTTTTTCTTGGTCTCTGAAAACAAAAGGGCAGGAGTTCAGTTCAGGGCTCTGAGCAGTGACTTTTTACAGAATAAATAACATTCAGAATGAGTTAACAACATCAGGATTTTCTTTAATTTGAAGAAGAAATCTTTGGTTTAGAGGCAGTATGTAATGGTGACTTGAACAAGTAGCTTAAAATCTAATTGAAATAAATATTATTCAGTTATTATTAAGTCCAAGTTTTCAGTGAATCATTTGAAAAGGAAACCTATTTCAAAATATAATAGAAACTGAGGGAACAATATCTACCTGGTGTGTGTGTGTGTGTGTGTGTGTGTGTGTGTGTGTATGCGCGTGTTTTTTGTGTGAGGGAACAATATCTACGT